GAACAAGTTTTACTATTAAGTTTCACAGTACAACTCTTTGGGGACAGAGGTCCTGCATGGGAAGTTAGTGCACAGTGACTCTTGTTCTTTATTGAACAAATAACACTCTTATGTATGACATCAGTAATCTCCAAAGGCTCTTGACACAATCTGCTATTCTCCTGGGTTTTCTTCTGTGAATTTCCCATAACCCTATCTCAGGTGTGTATTTTTCTCCTCCTTAATTATTAATTTTTCCCAGCATGATTTGGATCATCCTGCTGCTTTTCCTCCATTTTGTCCCCCCCCCCCCAATTTCTTAAGATGTTAATTTCCAGCTTCATTCCATTGTGGTCAGAAAAGATACATGAGATAAACTTAATTTTTTTGAATTTGCTAAGACTTGCTTTATGGCCTAGCATATTTTCTCTATCCTAGAGGAAGTTCCATATACTGATGAAAAGAATGTGTATTTTTCAACTGTAGGATGAAATGTTCTTTAGATGTCAGTTAGGTCCATTTAGTCCATAGTGTCAATTAGCTCTGTTGTTTCTTTGTTTCTTTGTTGATTTTCTGTCTAGTTGATATGTCCATTGATGAAATTGGGGTGTTGAAGTCCCCCATTACTATCATATGGGAGTCTATGTCTCTGTTTAAATCCATTAACACTTGTTTTAAATAGCCAGGGACACTGGCATGCATGCATGTAAGTTTATTATAGTCACATTATTATATATTATACATATATAATATTATATAATATATATATTATAGTCACATTTATTATAGTCACATTATTATAGTCACATATATATATATATATATAATTCTTGTTGAATTGATCCCTTAATCATTACATAATACCCTTCTTTGTCTCTTTTAAGTTTTTGTGTTAAAATCTATTTTGTCTGATAATAGGATGGCTATACCTGCTCATTTTCATTTTATGTTACCATGGAGTATCTTTTTTCATTCTTTTACTTTCAGTCTGCATGTGTCTTTGTGAAGAAGTGTGTTTCCTGTAGGTAGCTAACAGATGGGTCTTATGTTTTTTTTTTTTTTAAATCCATTTAGCCAGTCTGTACCTTTTAATTGGAGAATTTAGGCCAATGTTCATCTCACACTCTGGGCCAGTACCTCTTGGTGCTGGAACCTCCTACCAAGAACCACTTTTCCTACCAAGAGTTTCTGCTGCTTCTGGATACATTCCAAAGGCTATGTGCCTTTCCAATCTGACTGAATGGCTCACTGATTCCAGCTCCCCAGCATCACAGTTCCACACCCTCACCGACAGATTCAGAGTGTATTTTTCAGGAGAACACTTGCTGAAGCCTGGGTCTAAACAACCACCAGGTACTGCTCTTATTTATGACATAACAATCCGGGCTTTCCTTTGTTCCAAGAAGATAGCTGAACCGTTCTTTAATCCTATTCAATTGCTTACTTATCAACAGTTAAAGGAAAAAGGGAAAATCCTAGCATTATGCAACAGAAAAAGAAATCATTAAAAGGACAACTTTTGACTGACATACTTTGCAGTGGGTCTAGAAACTTGATGGAAGGAAACAAGGAGTTAAAATGTGTTTTCTTTTTTCAATGAGTGGCCCTTAACCCAGCCAACAGAAAAGGAATGTCCAGCCCTCTACCAGACAGTGCTGAAGAATTCCTTTCTCTGGCTTAAGGCCCAATCCAAGTTCCTTCTCCAGGAAGATTCTGAATTAGCAGGTACCAGGCCTGGCATATCTCCCAGATGCCAAAACCAAAAGGAGCCTATTTAGTGCCAGTTGTTCATCACAAGCTGTCTGCTTCAAACTCCCTTTAAAATACTGAAGAAAAATTGAAAATATCTCAGTTTTCCTTAATAATATGACCATTGGGTCCAGCATGGTGTGTTGGTTCTCAGAGTGCAGGGAAGCAGAGGGTGGAGTAGGAGAACTAGAGAAAGGAGTCCATTTTCTCCACTTGCTTTTCTTTCAGAAACATGCCAGGAAGGGATTACTTTTCCTGGGTAACTCATAAAATTCTGTGGTTGGCTCCTGTGATAAATTTTCTAGGTTACTCCTAACCTACAGTGCCAAGAGAAAGAATCTGGCCTAAGAGGGCATCCCGCTTCTCACAGGGTATCCAGACATTTCTGGCTCCTGTTCTAAGGCAGCTGTTGGAACTATTTAGGCACTTGTGCTTCTATTTGAAAATGGGGTCCTTCTTCTTCATACCAGAGTATTGGGCTGCAGTTCTCAGCCCTGGCCCCTGGAAAACTCACCTGGAAAGCCTGTAAACTCTATTTTGAGGCCCTTCCTCTGCTATTCTTATCCATTAGGTCTTGATATGTCCCCAAAGTGTGCTTTTTTAACACTCATTTTGATACTGGGGGCTTCCCAGATCATATTTTGAGAAATACTGCCTGGAGTTCAGGATACTATATGGTTTATTTAATTCACTTGTGAGTGAAAGCAAGTCATAGAATGGACACATACTCTATACTCATGCAACATGCTCTAAACCCAACAACAGAGATCCTTTTGGGGCTATTTCAAATCACTTGTCTGGGCTTGAACTCCATAATCACATTGGGATAATGCTTGATGGCTGTGCTCTCTAATTTTTAGCTCAGGTTTCAGGACAGCTGTGGATATATGTTTAGATCAACTTCCAGAGATCTCTTAATATGTGTCAAGCTATCACAGGGACACATGTGGTTGCTATTAAGTTTAATGGACTCTTGGCTTAGGCTGTGATTAGGAACAGATAAGGTCTGTCCTGCACACACCCAATCTACAAATTGACAAATCTTTACTGAATCTGATTTTTCTGTTATACAACAGAATGAGTTTCACTACAGTAAACAATATTTTTGTGGTGTTTATACTGTAAGGTTTGGGAAATGTTTCTTTCATAAATACATATTTACTTATTGTCTAGGCATCATAAATTAGCTTTCAGGCAAAGCAAGTTCCATGTTGTCCTTTTAGGGTTTCCAGATCCACAGACCTCCTTGTCTGTCTACTTCCACCTTTGTCTTAAGCTAGTCAGATCTCAGAATAACTAAAATGATACAGAGAATAAAGAAGCTTGCTCTAAAGATTAAAAGGCAATTTCTGATGGAAGCTTTTAATGTAGTTACTTCACCAGTTCAAGGAAACATTATTTAGCATCTAATATGTCCCAAGCACAATTCAAGGTGCTGGAGATACAGAAATACATAAAACACATGAAAACCCTTTCTCATGGAATTTATACTATAGTAGGGGAATGGATAATAAACAAGATAAATAAAGGAAACATATAAGTATGTTAGAGATAAAAATGACAAGGAGAAAAACAATGGAGGGAAGGGGATTATTAAATGTCGGGCTAAACCTTTTAAGTAGGTTTGCCATGAAGAGTCTCACTGAGAAGGTAGTTTTTGAATCAAAACCTACAGGAAGTGAAGTGAAAGAGCTATTCACATGGACATGGGGGAAGAGCCTGTCCAGCAGAGGAAGCAACTAGTACAAAGGCCCTGAAGCGAGGGCATGCCTGGAGTGTTTGCAGAACAGTGAGCCAGCATGGTATCTGGAGCAGAAAACGGTAGGATATGTGGTCAGACAGATAGCAGGGACACAGATCATGTGAGATTAGCGGGAGCATAGATGGTACCATCCAGTCCCAAAAGACCAGAATTCTAAGACTACCTTGAAGCATGGAAGAAGTTCAGAACAATAAAACAAGAGATATTACTTTATGCACTGAGTATTAAATTGCGAATTCCAAGAGATAATGTAAGCGAGATAGACAATATCAGGAAGAGGTGTTATATAAACACATGGATTGGATGACAGTTGCGTAAAGAAGTGAACCAAGGCTTTGGGAGCATTCTTAATTTTGTGTGATTGACTCCATGAAACACAACTGTAGCATTCCATTCTTTTTTTCCCCAGAATAAAAAAATTGCTAGCTGGATTTATTATCAGCCTACCCATTGATATTGTGTTATAAGTCTCCAGGTATTGGAATTATAGGCCATCAAGGATCATATTTGGAACCAAGATAGTAGCTAAGGTTATTGCTGGATCTATATACAATGGTGGTGGGAAATGTGAAGGCAAGTAAGAGCTGCAATACCAGAGGTGTTCCTGACACCATGCAAAACTCATGTGAAAGGAACTTGGTGGGTCAGCACAAATGGAAAGTCTTTCTACCTGCTAAATTACACCATTTGCTACTAGTGTCCAGGAAAGAGATGGCATGTCACCGGGTCTCTAAAAGAGCCTCTGCTAACACAAAAACCCGAAGCTTTGTAGGAATGGAAGGAGCTCTGGGGTGTCTATTTGTAGGGTGGAAAATGCTATACCCAGAAGCCCACAGAAAACTCTTCTGAAGCTCCTTATAGAGGGATCCAAATAGAAATCTCAGAACAAAACTGTTTGAAGAGATATAGTCCAGCCATAAAGACAACATTACAGGCTCCATTGCTACCCCGCTGGAGGTAAGACCACTCAGTTCCTCAGGGCCTGCCGTTAGCCTTGCACTCAGGACCAGTTAGTGTAAATAAAATTAGGATGCTTTCTATGAAAATGCAGGATGCAGACAGGTCCTCTTCAAACCTGATTCGGTTCCCTCCAACATAGAAATCCCAGAGCCGTTCTGGGTTTCACTGATAGGTTGTACCTCCTTCCCCAGTCAGGGGCCCTTTTATCAATATAGGGATATTAGATAAAAGAATATGCAAATCTTATGACCTTATTAACTCCATTGAGTGCTTGTGTTCCTATTCTGAAGAAAATGGGGTCCCCTAAATGCTTTCAAAGTAGGGGAGCAACGTGTCCTTCTTCCTGTTCCCTGTTTTCATGTACAAGAGGCCCAGTAAAAAATGTGAAGCTTTCCTCTTATGAGCCATTGCCCAGAAATGTAGCAAAAAAAAAAAAGGCCAGTAGTTCATGAAGGATTTCTTTAGGAATTCTTCAGCCAAGAGCATTTCCAACTCTTGAGACCAGTAACAACATATGATTGACCTCTTTATTTTCTTCCACTCTCTCCAGAACTTCACTGAGTCATCATCTGTACCCGATCTCACACAGTCCTTGGCTGCATTTGCTAGCATTACCTCTCCTGGAAACACTCAGAAGTTCAGTGATTTCCCCACCCCAGCCACCAGCCAGAGCTGTTTAGATTCTTCAGCTGCTCGACACAAGATGACTTTAAATCCCAGGAAGCAAAAGAAGAACTTTCAAGCAACTGTAAGTTCTTCAAAAGAATTGGAATAAACTCCTGTGTAGGAAAAGATGAGTTCCAACATCTGCACACTGTGGAAATGAGGTGGTTTAGGAGACTCACACCCTCAGTAGGGATGGCAAAATCGGGGGTATTGTCCCAGCCTTGACACCCCCAAGGGTAAGGGGTAAGAAAGCTTGTCCTCTCTATTTGGAACTTACATACAAGGAACTGAAGAAAAGTAGAAACAGTGACTTAAACTCAGCTTATTGGTTACCATTCTCTCAGCTCTCTTAGCAAAAATTAGTCAACCCTAGCCCCCTGTCGGGATTCTTTTTGATCAGATGAAATCTTTGAGTTATACATTGTAGCTCATTTGGAAGACAGGCTTCTAGCAACTCCAAACATTCAGAACTCAGCTTTTAACTCTTCCACCTAGATGTCACAAAGTTCTGCCACAGGAGTATTTAGCAGACAGAGCCATACTTATGCAAATCTACTGGATTAGTCAGCCTTTTGATATTTTAAAATACCTTTCTTAGGGCTGGTTAAGCTGCAGACCACAGTGCCAGCATCCCTGTATCTAGGCTGCTCCACTTCTGATCTAGCTCCCTGCTAATGTGAGTGGGAGAGCAGCAGAAGATGGCCCAAGTGCTTGAGCCCCTGCCACCCACATGGGAGAGCCAGAAGAAGCTTCTGGCTCCTGACTTCGGCCTGGCCCAGCCCTGGCTGTTGCGGCCATTTGGAGAATGAACCAGTGGATGGAAGATCTCTCTCTCTCTCTTTCTCTCTCTCTCTCTGTGCCTTTGTAACCCTGCCTTTCAAATAAATTTTAAAAAAATCTTTTAAAAAATAAAATACCTTTCTTTAGGAAGAAAGCAAGTTTATTTTAGTTCACAGTTTTGGAGGTTCACAGTCCAAAATCAGGCAGTCCTATTAATCTATCATCTGATGAGGTTAGAGGCTGGCAATGGTGAAATAGTGTGTGGAAGAGTGAGTACATGGAGAACCAGGAAGCAGAGAGATGGAATGCACACTCATCCTACATGTTTATGTGTCTCTCTTTAAAAAGCCATTATGGGGCTCCAACCTAGCAATTTAATCCAAACTAATCACTTCCAAAAAGCCCCACCTTCAGACATCATAATCAAATCAAACTTCCACCCTTAATCTATCAACCATTAATATTAATCCATTAACTGCTAACATAAGGCTTTGGGGTTTAAACATCTATGTGAGTTGGGGAGCTATACCCTATTCAAAATATAGCACCTACTGTGTTAGAAACATGGCCACAGAGGGCTGGTATTGTGGCACAGCGGTTTGAGTCCTGGCTGGTCTACTTCCAATGCAGCTGCCTGCTGATGTGCTTGGAAAAGAGAGTAAGATGGCACCCTCCCACCTATGTGACAGACTCGGATGGAGTTCCTGGCTCCTGGATTCAGCCTGTCCCACCCTGGGCTGTAGTGGCCATTTGCAGAAATAACCAGTGAATGGAAGATATTTCTCTCTCTCTCTCTCTCTCTCTCTTTCTCTCTCTCTCTCTCCCTCTCTCTCTCTCTCCTCTTCCTTCCTGCTTTCTCTCTCTTTCCCTCCCTCCCTCTTTCTAATATAGAAAATAAATTAAAAAAAAATATATATATAGCCACAGATCAGACTCAGAGACCTGACCTCAAGGAAAGAGAAGTGACAGTTAATAGCAGAGAGAGAAGACAGAAATAATCTGGAACAATTTAGTATCAGAGTCAAGAAGCTTAGCCACCTCAGTAGGGTCCCTCAGGGCACACTGTATCATGGTGCAGTGTAATAGATTATGTTCATTATTTATCCATGTCATCAAGAAAATTTGGATTATGTTCTCAGATATCTGTTTAAGAACACCAAGAAGCAATGCTTTGGGAAATGATTTCCACTAAAAGCTAAGAATAAAAGATGCTGGTGTTTAAAAGAATCTGTCATCTAGCTAGAAAATTCACTTTAATCAAACATCCAGTTTCCCCATGATTCTGGGGTAAAAGTAGGAAGCTGTAAATCAGAGTTGGGAGAGACTAAAAGACTGTATAGAAGAAGCATTTTAAAAGAGAAACACATTAAAGCACAGAGTTTAAGTACTTCCTTGAAGTCAGAAAGCCAGGTGGTAGCAGAGCTGGGGCCAGAATCCAGTCTTCTGACTTCCAGTACAGTACTTTTTCACCCCACCACGTTGCCTCTAGCTTAGGCATCTCACATTTGCTTTATAAAGTGGACAAAATATGAGTTGAAAGAACAGTTAGAAGAGTAAGGGGGCTGAAGAAAAGCCCTCTGTTGGCCCTGAGATAATTTCCTTGGTTTGGTGTTAAGCAAGGGATAACCAATTACTGGGCCCTAAACCCTATACTTGTGTTATCTCCTGAACACCACACCACAAATCTGGGAGATGGGCAGCATCAACTAAGGAAAGCTTAGTATGATTTCTTTGGGTTTCTTAGCGTGACCAGTCTGACTTTTCCTCCTTCTGAATAGCCTAATTGAATAAAGATCTGGCAGCACCCTCTCAGAAGGCTGGCACATCTCCTTCCCTATGATACTCCCTGACACATGGATGGAGATAAAAAGGTCTAGGATCACTTATAAGATAGGATATAAGATAAGGGCTACTACCACCTTCTCTGTGCTCTGGAATTTCTTCTTTCTTTAAAAGATTTATTTATTTTATTTGAAAGTCAGAGTTACAGAGAGAGAAAAGGAGAGGCAGAGAGAGAGAGAGAGAGAGGTCTTCCATCCCCTGGTTCATTCCCCAATTGGCCAAGCCAGGAGTCAGGAGCTTCCTCCAGGTCTCCCACATGGGTGCAGGGGCCCAAGCACTTGGGCCATCTTCTACTGCTTTCCCAGGCCATAGCAGAGAGCTGGATCAGAAGTGGAGCAGCTGGGAATTGAACCGGTGCCCATATGGGATGCCAGTTCTGCAGGCGGCGGTTTAACCCACTACACCACAGCACTGGCCCATGCTCTGGAATTTCTTAGGTCTGCTTGTCCTACAGGAAGTTTCTCCCAATCCATAATTTATGGGCATAGACAGACTCAAGGAATAACTTGCCCAAGGTCCAAAAGCAAGAAACTAATGGAGAAGAGATTTCAATTCACGACTGTCTGACTTCATTTACTAAAAAAAATTTTTTTTAATTGTTTTATTTATCTACTTATTTTACACACGCCCCTTCCATCTGCAGATTCATTCCTCAAATGCCTGCAATTGTTGGGGATAGGACTGAGCCAGGCTGAAACTGGGAGCCAAGAATTCAACCCAGGTCTCTCATGTGGGTGGCAAGGACCAACTACTTGAGATATCACTTGCTGCCTCCCATGGTGTGCATTACCAGGAGGTTGGGATCAGGGGCAGAGCTGAGACTCAAACCCAGGCACTCCAATATGGGAAGCAGGCATCTTAGCCACTACTCCAAACACTTGCCCCCAAGATAAATTATTTTGAATTGTATCTGTTTGTACAGGCACTTTGAGTGTGAGCATAACAAGTTGCATGCTTGCCTTTAGATTATGTCATAAAAGGCTGGCACTGTGCAAGTTTTAGACACTGTCAAGTGCAGTGTTACTCAGCATTTCCAGATCTTCACTGTAATTATCTGAAAACCTTGTTTATACTAAATTAATTCCAATCCATTCAGTATAAGGGCTGAACCCTTCAGCTTTTTCTTTTGTGCTCCCCACCCCCAACAAAAGCCCAATCCTTTTTCTTCTTTTGAGCTGGAAAGACATAATTCATGCTTTCACCAAATTCCCTGCAAAGAAGCCAAACAGACTTTGAATTGGCTCACAAGTCCGGTGAAGAAAATCCAAGAATTCCAATTCTGCTAAGGGGGCAAGTCTGTCATCAGGCCCAACAACCCAATTTTCGGATTTATGGCCTAGTTTGGTTCAGTAGTTTCTGGGATGTTTTAGAGCACTTCCTGCAGACTGCTATTCACAGATTAGGAATTTCAGGTCTGAATGAACCACTTCCAATAGGTAAGATGATTCCCAGGGATCACTTAATGGATGGCATTGAAAATAGCTTTCATCTTCAATGGTGTTAAATACCCAGCATGAGGACTTAGTTTTCCTGATGTGCCCTAACTCCTTGGTGAGCATGCAGGGATGGCTAGGGAGCACTTCATGCTCTTTCTTTCCTTGTTTTAGGTGAAAGCAAAGCAGGAGGAGCCAAGCTTTTTACTGGTTACTGAAGAAGAAAAGAGTATGAGAAAACCAAAAGATGCTGACCAGAAGCTGAACAAAGACAGTGAAGGTTGGCACATCTTCACCTTTACCCAGAAACATGTATTATAGGCTTCGTTGCACAGCGCTATGTGATAGGAATTGAAAACAAGAATTACCCAGAACAGCTGTCCTTGGTCCTCAGAGAACTTTCCACTTAAGATGCATACTAATATGCCCCAGGTTTCCCCATCTAGACAGCAAGTTAATACACGTGTATAATAACACGTGTTAGGAATTTAGATAAAGGATCATCTTTACATACTGATTTTACCTAAATGAATTTCAAACCAGAGAGGTGTTTGGTTTGTTTCTAGATTTATTGAACCATTTCTGAGACTAGTGTCTATGCCAGGTTCCTCAATGCGCCTGGATAGCAGAGTACAACTAGCAGTTTCCACTTCAACATTCTTCCTCAAGAACAGAACCAGACAGGAATAATGGAAGTGGCCAAACAAATCATTTGTTAAAGCCGTCTTTCTCTTCTGGTAGAAAGAAAAGGTCTTGTGTGAACAGGGAGATCAGTTCCCATATCCATGGTCAAAGAGGGCTTGGACAGCTGTAGACAGATGACCTTGGCAGCCAACAGCTATCAAATCCCCCAAAAGAAATACCATCTAAGTGAAAAGCTATCTCTTTTTTTGTGTGTGTGCATTTGTGGATGTATGCCCCAGCTGATGACAGGTGAATTTCAAACAATATCTGATAAAACAAAATTCCAGGCCCACAAATTAAGTTGAACAATTATTTGGTGTTTTGTCAGAAAGGATTTCACATGTGAGTTTAAAGACAGGATATCCGTGAATACATTTCCCCATGAATAATAACAAAAGCGTCCTGTAAAAATAAAGGAAAGATGAAATGGGAAATCTTTCATCTTTATTTTTTCAGATTTATCTTCTAATAGTTGCCTCTTTTATTATTTCCTTGCTGTTTTTAAACTGTCCCTTTTACACAGAGGCCAGAACTGAGTCAGTTCTCATGGGAGCAGATACTTTGGTTGATTTTCCTTTTTTTCCTTTTTTTTTTTTTTGACAGGCAGAGTGGACAGTGAGAGAGAGAGACAGAGAGAAAGGTCTTCCTTTTGCCGTTGGTTCACCCTCCAATGGCTGCTGCAGCCGGCACGCTGCGGCCGGCGCACCGCGCTGATCCGATGGCAGGAGCCAGGTGCTTCTCCTGGTCTCCCATGGGGTGCAGGGCCCAAGCATTTGGGCCATCCTCCACTGCACTCCCTGGCCAAATAATGAGGTTGGTTTGGAGCACAACCAGTCATTCTCAGTATTTATGCTGGATATGAAAGTACTGAATGGAGCTAGGGATGGGAGTGATAGGGAGAAAGGCAGCAAGGGCCCCACCCAGCTGTGGATCAAACTAAGTTCCTTAGAAAAAGTTATCAGAGAGGAGAGGCAGCAATCTATGTAACTGCTGTCTCGTGCTTCACCTAAGCCTGTGGACTGATGTAACTGTTAAGACATTCCAAGAATTATTCTGCATATATTTAAAGAATTGTTTGGTATGTATAAGATTGTTTTAATACTAGGAGATTGAAGAAAAAGTGGCCCTAATCCTACCTCCCAGATAATTTCTGTTGATGTCTTTCTAAAGCAAATGCAGTATATGCACATAGAAAATTTCAAGTCGTTCAGATAAACATTAAATTGAAAGTAGAAGTACTAACTGGAAAGTGAAAACTTCCCTCCCCCTTGCCTCAGTTTCCTCAAAGTTAATCGAACTTTTCCTCTTGACATGACTCATACCTAATAGTGTACCAACTTATTGATGCACCAACCTTGAAATTAGTTTATGAAACTGAGATTTCCTTTTGATTAAAGAATTTCCAACTCTAGAAGGTGAATGGTGACCAAGTTTCTGTCTTATAAGTAGATGCTCCTTCATACTAGAGAAATCAGTATCAAAGTAGCTACTCATTGGGCCACAGCAGAGTATGTTTATTTTGTGAAGTCAACAGCACACATATTCTTCTTTCCTTATTTTCCGTTGGTACAGAACCCACAAGCCAGAAACAGAACAACGAAACAGAAATTTATGATAAGACAACAGAACAGGCCCCAAACACTGATGCTTCTGGGAACCTAGGCGGTATGACAGCAGTACGTGGAAGATGTAGACGAGTAGGAGCAAATGCTTTAGGAATGAGTGAGTGTGGGTCCAAAGGAAGAAGCTCTGTACAGTCCAGTAAAGGACACGGCCTGGGTGATGGGGCTGGGTCCTTACCTACTGATAAGACTGCCAAGGACTGCTCTTTCTGGAACCTACACTTGCAGACAAAAGTCACGGAGCAGCTCACAACTCCACAAGTAGAAACCGCTACTGCTCAGAAGTTGCTCTCAGATGAAGGTGACATGGGTGGTAGCAACGATGATGTCCATTTTCAGGCAGAAAACACATCAGCACCCCAGCCTCTACCTGAAAACATGGAAGCGTCGATGGCTAGTGGTCCACCATCCTATCATGAACATACGGTTTCTGCAGCCAAGAAGCTCCGAGCCAGGGCGCTTGCTTCCCCAGGGATGGAGAGCTCTTCCGCAAGGCCAGAAGAGGCCATTCACTCAGTGGCAGAGGCGGCCCAGGTGATCAGGGAGCCCTCTCAGATCCAGTCAGCGGAGGGATCCAAAATGCAGCCAGCCCAGGACGTCCCAGCTGCCTTCAAAGGTGAGCCTCCTGGAAATATCATCCAGGCCTTTATAGTGAGTGAAATTTCCGGCATGATCGGTGAGGCAGAGGAAATCATTTTTTCAGAGAGGCTGCCTCCCCTACGCCTTTCCACTTTCTTAGGGCAACACGAGGCTGAGGAAGTCCTCTCAGAGTCAGAAAATGATTCCGAGGACGGCAGTCGTTCTGAGGAGCAAGTGATCCCTGCACATTCTCGCTCGCGTCTGGGGAAGCCTGAAGCTAAGGAAACCTCAGATTCAGAGAGTGGTACCCAGGAGCAGAGCAATTCTGAGGAACTGGCTGCTTCTGGTTGCTCTCCTCCATCCTTGGGGAAGTTTGAAGATAAACCAAAAGTCTTCCCCAAATCGAAACATTCTGTCATGCAATTAAGCCGCTCTGGGAAGCAGCAGGCTCCTAGCTACCCTTCCCGACCCTTTGAGGAGTGTCAAGTTGAAAAAGTCCCCAGAGGCTCGAGTGGTCGTGCTGAGAAGTACAGCAGTGCTGAAGATTTGAACAGCTTGGAGGGACAGCTCCCCATCAGACCCCGCGCCCAGGCCCTGAGGAAGCCCAGAGACCAAGCAGAAGTCAGCTCAGTCCCAAAGAACACGGCTGAAGGGAGCGGTTCTGCGGAGCAGACGCTGCCCACTGGGAGGCCTGTGTTGCCGCAGCAGCTCTCCTCCAGTCCACTGAGCTCTTCGACAGAACAGGGCATCTCTGAGGAGTCAGTGTCTCCCCCAAACCCTTACCAGCCGTCGGAGGGCCCCAATTCTGAGCACCACGTCTCTGTAAATCCCAAGGGTGTGGCTACTGACTGGGGCATTTCTATGGAGCCACTGCCTCCCAGAATGAGTTCTAAGCGCTCTGTGAGGCCAAAAGCTGAGCAGCAAGTGCCTTCACGTGCAGAAGTTACAGCTACCGGAGAGGTTGTTTCGCCGGAGGCGCTGTCTCCCAAGCGTGCTTCTCAGCCTCTGTTGAAATCAGTAGTTGAACAAGAAGATTCTTCAGGTTCCAAGCGCTCTGCTGGTGAGAAGGATTCCGTGGAGCTGCGTCCTCCTGAGCTGCTTTCCCAGCCCTTAATTAAGCCTCAGGATCAGCAAGATGTGTTGTCAGGTTCGGAGGCTATTGCTGACGAAACGGGCCTTGCAGTTGCGCTGCTGCTCCCCGAAGATTCTCCCCAGTCCTCGACAACTCCTCAAGTCCAGGGAATCGTCTCAGAAAGCGCTGCTGCGAAGGAGGACGTTTGTGGAGAGCTGTCGCCTCCTGGGTGCCCTCCCCAGGCCTCGGTCAGGCCTAGCAGCCAGCTGCAGAAGATCGTAGGCTCCGCGAGTGCTTCTGCGCAATGGGAAGCCACTGCCTCCAGACACAGCCAACAAGCACCGGGGAGCCCCGCCTTTGAGCAAGTCTCTGCAGGTTCAGAGAGTGCTGCAGCTGAGGGGAGGATGTCTGTGGAGCTGGAATCTCCCAGGCCCCATGCTCAGCCCCCGGCGAAGGCTGCAAGTGCAGAGGGTGTTGCCCCTGAGGGTGGCGTTTCTGCAGAACTGCTGCTTTCTGGACACGCTTCTCCGTCCACTGTAACACATGATGTCCAGAAAATGGCCACAGGGCCCCAGAGTGCTGCTGTTGAGGGACGCATGTCAGGGGAGGCGGTGCCCCCCAAATGTTCTACTCAGCTCTCTGTCAAGTCCAAAGTGCAGGAGATATCCTCACGCCTAACAAACACGACTAAAGTAGAGAAGTCGCTGCTTGCCAGCCATCCTTCCCGGTCGTTTGTGAAGTTTATGGCACAGCAAATCTTCTCAGAGGACTCGGCTCCCAAAGAGAGCTCTTGCACGGACCCCCCGCCTCCAAAGCATCCATCCAAGTCTCTGTTGAGGCCTAAAATGGATCACAAAGTGTTCTCAGATCGGGAGCAGGCTGACCCCGGGGGAGGCAGATCTTCGAAGACGCTGCCTCTGAAGCACTCTGTCAAGTCTGTGGGCAGGCCCAAAGACCTGCAAGAAGTTCCCTCATCCTCAGAGCACGTTCCTGTGAAGAGAAGCACTGCTGAAGAGCAGCTGCCTCGTAGACAGAACGCCCCAGCCTTGGGAAAGTTTGAGTGCCAGCAAGAAGTCCCCTGTGTTTCTGAAAGCTCTCCTGAAGAGTGGAGGCCTTCTAGAGAGAGCCTGCCTCCCAGACGCGCTCCTCAAGCGTTGAATGGGTCGCAGTTGCAGCCGCAGACTTGCCCGGCGGGCTCAGTGGATGGGCCTGTAAGGCGGAGCAGTCCTCAAGAGCACCTGCAACCCAGGAACCCTTTACCGCCTTTTGGAGACTCTGAATATGAGCAACAGGTTCTTTCAAACTCCACGAGCGCTACTACCAAGGGAACCATTTTGGAGGGCAATTCTGGCAGAGAGTCCCTACCAAAAGGCTCAGTTTTTCCAAACAAGACCAAGCAGCACAGCGCAGGCTCTGAAGACCTCATGACTGTTACCACCAAACCTAGGAAGTTCACCCTTGCCCCAGCCTCGAAAACACCTGTTTCTGGGGGCACGTACTCTAAGAGGGAAGGCCTTGAGAGTGGTGATGGAAATAATGACAACCGCTCCAATGTCACCACTAACGAGGCTGGCGTTGAAAAATGTTTTGGAGTGCAACTGAGAAGACTCCCTTCCTCCCGGAAGTATAAGAGCACAAAACTAGATAACTTTGCCCAGCTTCCTCCACTGCCCTCAGGCCCGATTCCATTCTCTGAAGGTAGAGAGCAGCGGATGAGAAGAAGAGCGTCCCGGGGGCTCCTGGACACTGCAGAGACCACCACCACAATACCTGAGCTGGAGGGGAAGCAGCTGAGCGAGCCCAAATCTGAAGCTGTGGCCCAGAAGCAACCTGCCTACAAGACCCCAGGTGAGATTTGTGTTTCTTCAGATGGCAAGTAAGGTGCTAAAGGGAGGGAAGAACTAGAAAACTTAGCATGGTGTGGGCCTTGAGATCTGTCCTCGCCTTGCCTACTGCACTGTTGCTTTGATGGAGCTGGCTCGTGCATTTAGGGACAGTATAGTGCCCTATTCTACATGATTGGATTTGGAAATAGTCAATTTTGAGTCTTCCCCTTTCTCTGGGGGGTTCCCCTCTGGACATTCATTCACATTCTGTAACAGACACATGAACTCTGCCCATTCCCTCTTCCCCTAAGCTCTGTATTCCTTACATTTGGATAGTATTTCATGCTTTTCTCAAAATACTTTCACATGTATCATGCCCCTCCTCAACACCATTTACAGTCTTAAAAGGCAACTCATTAACAAAGCGCTGTGTTCAGACTCTCAGCCTAAATCTGAATTCCCTGTAATTCACTGAGGTATATCTCCTATCTACAGAAATGTCTTAAGAATAAAGGACTACCTGATATTTTCAACACAAATCTCTCCCAAAACTTTGTACCTTCACACACATAGTCTTATATCTGCCTGTAACCACACACTTGCCTGGGGGACTATGACTGGGTAACAAATACTATATTTTCCTTGGAGACAGAGAAAGGACATCAATGGCCTGAGCTTCTTGCTTCTTAGGAGTTTTCTCAGCCCCACTGGCAACCATTATCATATCTTGATTGGAGTACGGGACATAGGATGAACAAAGGAAGGAAGGGGTCCAGTAAGGGGACAGTATGCCTATTTTGAAGTACAGCTTCTTGATCACCCAAGAACTTGACTTGTAAGGTTGTAGGCAAAGGAGGGGTGCTTATCTACTAGAGATCTGTTCATTTTCATTTGGCAACTCACAAGGATCCCACTTGGGACATGATTGTCCCAGGTGGGACTAAGGCTAAGACCCTGCCTGCCTTGCTTCAGTCCTAACTCCTTTCATTCCTTTGTCAGGAAAGCATCCTGGTCAACAATCAGACAGTGCTATCTCAGAGCCAGCTTGGATAACCATGGCAAAGCAGAAGCAAAAGGGTTTCCAGACTCCTGTACCTATGAGACCATCAAAATTCAAGGACAGAACTGGAGCAGAGGCTGCGACTAAGGAGCCTGTTTATGTGGTAGGACCTGGGGCCACCCAGAAAATACTCCAAATGGTTGCTGGAGCCACCATTTGAGCTTCCACTGGGAACTTTGCCAGACACATACTTCTGACCCATCTTTAGGAATATTAGGCAAGCCAGAAGGGCTTCTCTGGTGGTGGTGAGGGGGTAGGAGAAAGACTTGCCTTAAACTCATATAAATGTGTACCAGTTTGTGCTCTTAAAGGGTTGTGGAAAGTTGTTGATATGAGGAGTCTATAAATCAAAACCTGTCCTAAATAATTGAGCAGAATTCCATGAAGTTGGTTAAGAGATAAGGATTAAGTCATACAATATATGCCAAATGTAGCCACTGGGCTAAGAGCTGAATGACTATTCTTATGGATATTTTATGCCTGTAAGTAGGTATATGCATTTTTATCAATGCAATAAAATTATAAATATAGTGGTCTCCCCTTATCTGCAGGGAATATGTTCCAAGATCCCCAGTAGATGCCTGAAACCATGGGTAGTACAAGTCCTGTAATTCAGTGCCTTTTGTGTCTTAACTAAGCATACAGCATGTCCTATGGCCATAACTTTGGCAGTTTAGATGAGACATCAAAACTATTTTTCCCTCTTCACAATTTCATGGCTATAAAATGCTTTCTTGCCATAGATCTTAGCAACCTCAGCATGTGACTTTTTTCTTTCCATTCTAAGTTAAAAATTTTCACTTAAAGGAAGCACTTTACAGCTTCTCTTTGACATTTTCGAATTGCCAGCATCACTACTCTTGTGTTTTGGGGCCATTATTATGTAAAATGAAGGTGACTTGAACACAAATACCGTGGCATCATGACCTGGACAATTACTAAATGACTAATAGGCCAGTAGTGTGTAAGACATAAATATGCTAGACCAAAGGATGCTTCACATCCCAGGCAGTAAAGAGCTAGATGGAGTGAGAGCTCATCATGCTACTGAGAAGAGAATGTGATTTAAAACTTATGAATCATTTATCTCTGGAATTTTCCATTTAATAATTTTGCACCTGGGGCAGGTGTTGCAGTAGAGTGCATTAAGTCAATGCTTAAGATGTCTGCATCCCATATCAGAGTGCATGGTTCAAGTTCCAGGAACTTCACTTCTGATTCAGCTTCCAGATAATGTGCCTGGGAGACAGCAGATAATGGTTTACGTGCTTCAGTCCCGGCCATCCAGGTGGGAGACTAAGATGGAGTTCCTGGCTCTCAACTTGTGCCAACCCCAGCTGTTGGGGGCATTTTGGAAGTGAACCAGAAGCAAGAAGATCTCTGTTTCAGTCTGTAGCGTCTCTGACTCTATCACTCTAAATTTAAATGAATATTTTAAAACATTCTGGGCAGGCACTGTGGCATATTGGGTAAAGCCATTGCCTGCAGTGCCGGCATCCCATATGGGTGCTGGTTCGAGTCCCTGCTGCTCCACTTGTAATCCAGCTCTCTGCTATGGCCTGGGAAAGCAGTAGAAGATGGCCCAAGTGCTTGAACCCCTGCACCCACGTGGGAGACCCAGAAGAAGCTCCTGGCTCCTGGCTTCGGATAGGCGCAGCTCCTGCCCTTGCGGCCAATTGGGGACTGAACCATTGGATGGAAGACCTCTCTCTCTCTCTCTCTCTGCCTCTCCTCTCTGTGTAACTCTTTCAAATAGATAAATAAATCTTTAAAAAATTCACACTGCAATTAAATACAGTTGAACTGAAACCTCGGAAAACGAAACTGCAGACAAGGGGTGAGGAGCACTGTATTATTTTTTTCATTTTATATTTCATCTCTGAGCACCTTTCTCTATGAGTACGTAACAGCTTATCTTTATGTGCTTGGCATTTGGATTTCTACATATTCATTTAGCTTGATGTGATTGTTAAAAGTGATGACCTAGGCTAATGGTACGACATATGGATCAGGGAGCTTGCTTTCCTCTTGTCAAAACTGCAGAAAACTGACTCAGGAAAATACCAAATTTACATATAAAGACATAGATCTACATTTTTATATTTTAAGTGCATCTTAAATATGTTGAGAGATCACGTGGGAACCTATTTAACTCTTTGCTTTAAAGATCTTTCCTTTTAAAAAAAAGATTTATTTATTTATTTATTTCAAAAGAGCTACAGAGAGGGAGGGAAACTGAGAGAGAGAGAGAAAGAGAGCGAGAGAGAGATATCTTCATCCACTCGTTCACTCCCCAGATGGCCAGCGCTGGGGCAGGCCAAAGCCAGGAACCAACAGCTCCATCTGGGTCCCTCATGTGGGTGCCAGAGACCCAAACACCATAGGTTATACTCTGCTGCTGGATCAGAAGTGGAGCACCCAGGACATGAATTGGCACCCATATGAGATGCTGGCATCACAGGAAGTAGCCTTACCCACTATGCCACAATGCCAGCCCCAAAGATCTTTCCTTTTTTATCATTAGTATTTGTGTGGGAGCAGGATTGTCCAAGGGTAAGATCCACCTTGGTTAAAGCTTTTATTAGTGAGAAATACACTAGTGTATATAAATGCATTCATTTAGACCAGTTTTGGAGAGGTTAATCTGAAAAACCTAAACTAAAATTTTGGAAAGACCTACAGTCACATTATTTTTTTAGTGTAGGGAGTGCTTCAAGTCATATGTCAGAAAGTTTTCCTAAGAGCAATTCTAGGGAACTCCAGTGAATTCACCAGATTTGTTTGTAATCACCATATTCTGTTAGCTTGCTGTTAAGTACTGGTAAAGTGCTAAGGAAAAGAAAGTTCTTAAGTTAACTAATTCTCATGTTACTCTATAGAGACAAGCTTTTCTTACAAGTTTTAAGGTGATAGATATGAGCCAGCTTAGGTTTTGTGAACATAAGTTCCAAACCAGGAGGCTCAGTGATATTTCTTTCCTTCTCTGTCTGTATCTGTATGTGTATCCATCTGTTGTCTTTTAATTATTATTGAACAAATAGTTCCTAGAACTGGGCCTGTGCCTATGGTCTTCTGAATAAGTAATTCATTGTTTAATGTCAGGACTTTCATGTTTTCTGTTTCCATTTTTGAATTAAAGGGAGCTGACCCTGAAAATGACAACCAATCAAGAAAGATTTTCACTTCCAATGTCCATAGACAGAAGATGGCACAGATGAAGCTAATCAAATCAGGTAAAAGCACATACTCCTATGAAAACAGCCCTGGCAGGATGTTGTGAAAATTATGCAATTTCAACCTCATACAATATGTCTCTTACCCTCAAATGAGCTTCATGATTCGCTCATTGCTCTTCCGGTAGACACAGTATACACTTATTTTAGGAAAATCCAATTATTATGACCAATATAAATCCAATGTAAATTCCAGGGAGGTCTTCCAGTCTTTTATCTCATTGAAGAAGCTATCTAGGCACAAAATTTTGGTAACTCACTAAAATATTTTTGTAGCTGGATATGCAAGAAGAAAGTACCCAGCCACTTTCCAGTTCATAACAAATTTTGCCTTCTATGTCCCCAATGAAACTGTTGAAAATAATTCACTATAAAGGTTCAATGGTGTGGAATTGTTTTTAACTGTTTGAAAGACTTATTTCATCCCCTCCATATTCTGAGCAGGGATATGAAAAGCAGGGAAATGTTGACTGCTGAAAAGCACCACATGTACTGGGACACAACAGGAAGTGATCTCATCAGAAAGAGTTGTGTGCAAAAGGGTTTTTTTATTTCCCTCATGCATAAATTAGGATAGGAATTTAAGAACTCATTATCAGAACATGAAATAACAATTGACCTGTCTACAGTGATCAATGGCCTCATAGGCACTTATTTTCCTGTGGAGTGGCTTTTAATTCTCACTATGTATTAGAATCACCTGGTAAGCTTTTTAAACAATTACAAAGGACCTTGGCTCCATCAAGAGATTCTAATTCAGTCAGTTTAGGAAATGGTGTGGACATTGATACTTTTTTAAAGAGCCTTATGTGATTCTTATATGTAGTCAGGACTGACAACCACTGCTTGAGTCTAAGCCACTGAGTCAATCAGCCATGATGCAAGATGAGAGAGGGAGTGGAATTGAGGAAGATAAAGATAGGCTGTTTGGCCACAGCAGTTGGTACAATATTATTTAGCATCAACTTTTACTGGGTAAGATCGATTGAGTCATCAATTTCATTTCACATGACATCACGAACTGGTAAGACAAAGATATTACCTTAAAATCCAATAACATGCAAATATTGTGAGTTAACAGATACAGGTTTTACCTCTCAGGTTTTCCCAAGCCCAGACCCTAGTAGCCATAGTCATGTTGATTTTACCCTTTTGACATATCATGGCATGGCTCAGATGCCAGCTTTTAGAAGCCTGGCACCCCAGGGAGCAAGAATTGGAAAGTAATAAGAGTGGGGGGAGAGCAGAGGAAAGCTGAAAGGATAAACCATTTTATTGCATCCCATAGACATATCCCAATGTCTCAGAGGCTTCTTACTGTTTGTATGTTGCTTGCTATGGTTCCAGCTGTACTTGAAGATCAGAAGATACTTCACATCCCTGCCAAGCAAAAAGAAACTAAAGAATCTTCAACTTTTCCAGCCAAGTCCCATCAGCCAGTTGAGCTGGCTGAGCCGGTTGAACCAGCTGAGCTGGTTCAGCCAGTTGAGCCTGTCTGGTTCTCTATGGCCAAGAAGAAATCCAAAGCATGGAGCCACAAAACATAGACGATGTAATAAGTAGGTCCTAGGTGAAGCGTAAGCATTTTAAATGATAATTGCCAACAGTTGCATTAATTCTGTGCAGTGATTTATTTCCTGTGACCATTTTTATTAAGCAAAAAGGCCTTAGAAAGGGGAATAGAAACTTACAATCCTTTGAATGAAATAAATGCCATGAATGCCTAGCCTTCAGTAGAGTTACCACCAATGCTTCTTGCCACCCTCATTCCTAGAGACACACACCTCAGAAGGTACTAGGCTGGAGAGCCCCCACCTCCCAAGAGACCCACTCACCCCAACCATGGGGAAGAGAGAAGGCCTAAAAGGAGAGCGGGAGAGGAAGTGTCAGGATGAGGGGGAAAGATCAGTTGGGAGGGCAGGAGCCGAGTAGCCCTGCAAATTTGACCCCTCCCTTTGCATCTTGCCATGCAGTCTGTTTCTGTAGTGCATCACCTCCTTTTAAAACTCCCAGGCGGAGGAGTACAGATTTAGGCACGTTTACCTCCAGAGTCAGTCCCTTAATCAGCTAGATTTCCAAGGTGTAGACCACCTTAGACTCTCCTCCAGGTTCACCAAAAATTAGTTAAGTCCTCCTTTCTACATCCTTCCTTTTTATTCTATCCCGCAAACCCACCAAACACGTTGAGAGAGATGACCTTAGATGCCTTGCCAGTTAACCCTAGCTTATTAGGTGACCCAGAAGTGACTTCTCATTATAGTTATCACTATGTCTGCCTTTGTCTCTTCAGGGTTACTCTGTTTAAACAGATATGCAGGCCTGAACATCCACCTATGCCTTTACATCCTGAGCGGGGCCCTGCTCCATCCCAAAATGCCCACCGAGGCAGCAAGGCAGTGAGGAGCCAGAGCTAATTTAAGTACCTGGGTGCTGGCTGCTGCTGATATAATGTGACACAATACTGACCACTTGCTAGGTGTCGCATTTTCTCTATTAGCATCTATTTTTTTCTGATACTGTGTTTTTGTCTTTTTTGATAAAGTTAGGTTTTTGATAGACTGGATATTATTACCTTTGTATCCCATAATGAACAGTAGATGACCTTCATGCAGGTAATCCTTCCCTCTCTTAACAATTTATTTTCCACAGTTAACAAAGCTCTTTTAATTGATGAGGTTTTTTTTTTTTTAAAGTCTAGTGACACATTGTTTTCAGCTTCTTTGCACTTTCTTGATTTTTTTGATTTATATAGAGCAAATGAAATCAATAAAGCCTGTTCTTTAGACCATCTCAGTCTGTTTCATGGGGGAGGAAAATCAAATAGGGTATTGACAACTCAGACTTTGAAGGTGTTCAGAGAAGCAAAATGCTCATAAGAAATTGTGCTTCATAGGAGGGGCTACCACACAGATGAGTCTGCCAAGCTGATGCCCTCCTAAGGGGCTTGGTGTGGAGGAGAAGTGCTATTGAAGAGGATTTGCATATGAACACCTGGGAAGTTAAGTGAGAGACTGGTGGGAGAGGGGCGCAGCTGGGCATGAGTAGAAGGGACAAGGTGGTTAGTGACTGCACTCCGTCCTGGCTCAGGGACTAGGTCCAAGACCTATAGCAAGATGGTTTAACTGCAACAAGCCCTTTTCAGAAGCACAGGGCCCCACCTGCTTAGGCAATAAAGAGTGACAGAGAGCCAGCACCGCGGCTCACTAGGCTAATTCTCCGCCTGCAGCGCCGGCACACCGGGTTCTAGTCCCGGTCAGGGTGCCGGATTCTGTCCCGGTTGCCCCTCTTCCAGTCCAGCTCTCTGCTGTGGCCAAGGAAGGCAGTGGAGGATGCCCAAGTGCTCGGGCCCTGCACCTGCATGGGAGACCAGGAGGAAGCACCTGGCTCCTGGCTTCGGATCAGCGCAGTGCGCTGGCCGCAGCAGCCATTGGAGGGTGAACCAACGGTAAAGGAAGACCTTTCTCTCTGTCTTTCTCTCTCACCATCCACTCCACCTGTCAGAAAAAAAAAGAGTGACAGAGAATGAAGAAGGGAAAGTGGTTTATTTAGTCTAGCCTGCTTGTAACATTTTTGGAGTTCAGAACAAGAATTCAGCTGGGGATCCACAAACCCCTATGTCTAAATATCTGAAATGTTTAAATCAACTAATTTAACATGGTTTATCTCCTTCCATGACAGAGGTATCTTCATAATGACCTGAAAGGTCAGGTTGGGTTTTAGAATTCGTCGACTCCTCTAGGTCCTGCCCCAGTGGCATGGAAAACACTGCTTTCCTCCCCTCTTCTCCCTTTGGGATTATTTCAGAACTCCCAGGACACAAGAATACAACCATAAACATCCATGTATTCACCACTCAGCTAGACATGTAACATTACCGGTACACCTGACGCCAAAGATGGAGCCCTCTGTACAATCCCAATCCCCCCCCCCCTTTCCCTAGGAGATGAATTCCATCTTAGCTGTTTCTCTGTCCAATACACACCTTTCTGCATGCTACATCTTTACACATACCTCATATGCATGCTTTTTAGCTTCTATGTACCCACAGTAGGTATCAGTGATGATTTGCAGGGTTTCTGAGACTTCATATGTCATCATGTTTACATCTTCTGGAGCTAGCTTTCCCCCTTAGACATATTTCTGTTGCAATCAGCTAATCTCTTCCCCTCTGTGTCTCAGCCTCTGTGAGCTCTAGTCTCCTTCCTGCCCAGCCCTTGCTGTCCTGTTCAGTTTACCTGCAACAGGCATAAGCCAGTGACTTTTAAGACTGGCCTTATCTTAGGTGAGTGTCTCACAGCCTCTTCCCAAACCTTAGTGTGCGTCAGGACTCCTTGGAGGGCTTGTTAAAAACAAATGGCTGTGAGCTGGCATTGTGGCACTGTTAACAGTGTAAGCCTCTGTCTGAGGCGCTGCCATCCGATATGGGCACTGGTTTGAGTCCTGGCTGCTCCACTTCCAATCCAGCTTCCCGCTACTGCACCTAGGAAAGCAGTGGAAGACGGCTGAAGTACTCAGGCCCCTGATACCAATGTGGGAAACCCAGATGGAGTTCCTGGCTCCTGGCTTTAGCCTGGCCCAGCCCCAGTTGTTGTGGCCATTTGGGGAGTGAACCGAAACGGTGGAAGGAAGATACCTTTCTCTCTCTGTCTCTGTCTCTCTCTCTTAAATAACAGATGGCTGACCTCAAACCTCAGTTTATGATTCAGAAGATTTGGATGTGGCCTGAGAGTCAGCACTTGTGACACGTTCTCAGGTGATGGTGATCTGCTAATCCAGAGACAACATTTGAGAACCACCATTGCCCCAAATGCAAAGTCTGTGCCCAAGTTCAGCAGCACTATTTAACTTCCAGACAAGCTGGGCTATCCATAAGGTTTCCCTCAAAACCATGCTCCAGAGCGGCACTGTCCAGTAGACATATAACTTTACCCCCAATGTGTAATTTAAATGTTCTAGTAGTCACAATGAAAAAGTAAAAAGGAGCTGCTGAAAGAAATTTTAATAGTACATTTTGGTTAACAGTATATTGTCATTTCAGCACACAGTTATTGATGAGGCATTTTGCATTGTTTTACACTTACAACACATTTCAAATTGAACTAACATTTCAAGTGCTCAGGAGCCACACATGGCTATTGATTTGTAGACAATATAGCTTTAACTAAAGGTTTGAGCTCTCTACAAAAACTATTTGAAACTTGAAATTTTCATTATTTGAGCTACAAGAAAATAAGTTTATCAAATGATGGAAAATGATCCCTTCCAAATGCAAATAAAGTGAATCAAAATAAAAGGTAAACATATTTGAATGTTACTTATCTTGAATAAAATCTGCCTATATTTCTATTTAAGTTTAAAGCAAACCTTTTATTCTTAACTTGAACAAATGCTGTTAAATATATCTTCAAAACATTAAGAGAAAAGTCAGCTATCATTAGAAATCACTTTTTGGGTGGTGAACACAGGAATGAAATTAGTGTTGATGAAGTCTCCTTGGGCTTCAAAAATGAAAAACCTAGAAAGAATACGTTCTTTCTTCTTTCGCTGTCCTTTTCTTTCTATTCTTTGTAACTACAGAATAAAATGAGAGAAAATTAATAATCATACAACATTAATCTGCTTCCTAAATCTAAGAAAATAGCCCCTATTTCTTCTTGTAATTAAAACCTTTGGCTATCGGGTGCTCTTGCAGCCAATGGCTTCAATCATGTGATCACACCATCCTTACCTAACACCAGAAATGCTTGTTGCTGTTGTTGTTTTGAGAGGCCATTCTGGCATTTAAGTAAGTCTCTCCACCTTAAAAGCCTGTGCTGGGGGCCAGCGTTCTGGTGCAGCAGGTTAAGCTACCACTTATGATGCTGGCATCCCATATGGGCGCCAGTTCGACTCCCAGTCGCTCTACTTCCGATCCAGCTCCCTGCTAATGTGCCTGGGAAAGCAGCAGATGATGACTCAAGTACTTGGGCCCCTGGTACCCATGTGTGAGACCAGGATGGAGTTTCAGGTTCCTGGCTTCAGCCTGGGCCAGCTCTGGCTATTGCAGCCATTTGGGGAGTCAACCAGTGGGTAAAAGATCTCTCCCCCCTCCTTTCTCTGTAACTCTGCCTTTAAAATCAATAAATCAATCTTTTAAAAAAGTAAAGAAAAAGCCTGTGTAACTTGCCCAAATGATAATCCCTTACCCTCCCAGATCCTTGGTTTCCATATTTACCACATAGGGAAAATGCTGTTACTATGAGATATGCAGCTGTGAAAATATGGGAATAAAGCAAAATATTAGCTTATTATTTAAATACACTAAAGCAAAAGATGTAAATTAAGACTTAATTACTAATTCAATGGTAAACAATAATCATACTTTAACTAAGTTTTTTTTCTTTGCCACACAAAATAGAAAAATCTACAACTGAATTAACAGTCATCAAACATTAAATGTAGTCCTAATTGAAATGCCTAACTTTTTGATATTTGTGAAACTTCACATTTTGAAAGGCATTGTCGGGGCTGGCACTGTGGCATAGCGGGTAAAGCCACCACCTGCAAGTACCGGCATCCCATATGGGCACCAGTTTGAGTTCCAGCTGCGCCACTTCCAATCCAGCTCCCTGCTATGGCCTAGGAAAGAAATGGAAGATGACCCAAGTCCTTGGGCCACTGCACCTGTGTGGGAGGCCCAGAAGAAACTCCAGGCTCCTGGCTTCAGATTGGCTCAGCTCCAGCCATTGCGGCCATCTGGGGGGTGAACCAGCGGATGGAAGACCTCTCTCTCTCTCTCTCTCTCTCTCTCTCATGGAAGACATCTCTCTCTCTCTCTCTCTCTCTCTGCCTCTGCCTCTCTGTAACTCTGCCTTTCAAATAAATAAATAAATAAATAAATATTTAAAAAAATAAAAGAAAGGCATTGTCTACTGGTTAGTATGGGAAACTGCATTTCTGTGGCCAAGTAATGATGAGCCAACTGGTATGTGGCCAACCACATTAGCTGCTGCTTCTGGTAACTGATTTTAAAAACAAATACTGGTTTCAGGTACCAGTTCTGATAAATTTACTGGTCTTACAGCTAGAGAATAAAAGGCCTCACAAGAACAAATAAGTAGCCATGAAGTATATTTCAGTACACATTGCATTTTACTAGCTACCTAAATATTCTAAAGTAACATGCTGTTAGACAATTTTAAATGATTTTTAAATTTTAAATTAAATTATTAAATTAAATGAATTTTAAATTAATTTCAGAAAAACTTTTTCTTGATTGATTTAATGGAGAATTTTTTTTGAGTAAAATAAGATTAAGTTATCAGACAGGTAAATGCCAGGAATGGCTGAATGTACTCAAAGCTACAGACTGATACCTTGATTTTCCATCTCCTGGGTCTGCGTCATTTTCAGGTCCTTCTTTTTGTTCTTCGATGTTCTTCTCATTTTCTTCCTTTTCTGCTTTCTCTTCCTCACTTACAGCACCTTCATCCCATTCAGTTACTTCTTTAGTGGGAAAAAAGTACAGATTTTGGCATCAGACGTTCATGGAAAGAAAATTTAATATATAACTGGTAGCACTATCTAGTACTCTACCCTCAGGAAAAGCAGGAGAACAGAACTAAGAAAAGAACCGCTGGGCACGATTTTGCTGGCTGATAACAAAACCTCCAGGGCTCTCACATTTGCACTACTTGATCATTTCCACAGTGACCTAATTTCGCTTTTCCAGTAAATCACCCACCCTGGGCAGCTGATTATTTCTGCCCTTTGGAAAGACATCAGCATCACTGGGACTGATCGCATTCTATATGTTTTGATAGGATTTGTTGGGAAAATACCTGTTTGCATCAAAGACAAATTCCATGGTCAGGCTCACTTGTTCCTCAACATCCTGAATATTTCACTTTTATCAAGTGCTTCTGTATCAGTTCACCATTTAGGGGGATTGCTTTCTAAGAATCTTTACACTTAAAAAAATTTAAGTATTTATTTATTTGAAAAGCAGAGTGACAGCGAGAAACACACAGAGAAAGACACAGATAGAGAGAGAGATCTTTCATCTGTTGTTTCACTCATGAACTGCTGCAACAGCTAGGAGCCAGGATCCAGGAATTCCATCCTGGTCTCCATGGGTGGCAGCCCATCCTCTCCTGCCTTGCCTGGCACATCGGCAGGAAGCCGGATGGTAAGTAGAGTGGCTAGGATTCAAATTGTGTCAAGCAGAGTCTTAACCCGTTGTGCCACAATGCTAGCCCCAAGAATCTTTACTTTTTAAAAAGCCACTAACTTTTTTTTTTTATTAACTTATTAAAGTAAGTTTTTCCATTTCCTCCCAAGTTACCTCCCGAACACCTGCTTCCCACTGGCATTCATGTGTGGGCACTTTAACTGCATGGATAATCGCAGATCTCTCATTGAGCCCAGGTTGGTGGAGGGCAGCGTAGGCTTCCTCAGAAATGTAAAGGTTGTTATAGAATTGGGCTTCCATTCAGGACCATTTGGAAAGGACGCAACCCGCCGCTTCCCCACTGGAAGTCTGCCGCCAGCAGGGCCAGGGAGTGTGCGGTCACCTCTGCCCAACCCAGAACCCACCCGAGCCAAAGCCGCAGGCTCCTGGCCTCCCAGCGCGCTGCCCAGTTCTCACCCTCTGGGCCTGCGGCCCCTTCTGCAGCTTCTCCCGCAGCGTCCTGTGCAGCGCTCTCCGCGGCCTCCTCCACAGCTCCCCCTGTGGCCTCCTCGGCAGGCTTCGCGGCCGCCGTGGCGCCATCTTTGGCCTCCTCAGATACTTGGGCCACCACAGTGTCCTCGAGGTCTTGAATGGCCGCAACCGAGGGCAGGCTGGGCACGTCGCCTTCGCCCAAGTTGAACGCGGGCCTGACCCTGGGCAGCTCAGGCACCTGGAGCACTGGGAGCTCAGCCGAGTTGGCGGCCGCAGGGGTCTCATGCCTCACAATCATGCGGCCTCTGTGGGGCCGGACCAGGATGTGATCATTGTAGTAGATGCGGTGGAGGAGTGAGTGGACCAAGTCCAGGAACATCCACCGGAAGCCCGCCATGGGGAAGCGACGTGCGTCCACCACCACGTCCATACCCCTCGCCGCAGCTGCCAGGTACTCTTCTTCGTCAGCCGGCCCAATGTCGGAGTCCTCCTCGGATCCGGCCACTATCTCCTCCTGCTCCCCCTCCACTCTCTCCTCTGCCTCTTCTCCGGGGCCTCCCTCGGGCCCTGCAAACCCGGCCTCCCCGGCTGCAGGCGCCACTTCGCCCCCCTCAGAGCTGAGGTGGCGGCCTACCTCACTGTCAGCTTCAGCTGCCTCAGCATGGTCTCCCGCCAGGCTTGCCAGGCCTTCTTGGCCTTCTTGGGGCAGATCCCGATCCCCTGTGGCAGACATGACACCAGTTAGTACCTCAGCTGGGAGACAATCGGCCCGGAGTGGCGACGACAGCGGCCAAGATGGTGGCCACCAAGCTGGCTGCCGCTGAGTGGAGGCTGATGGCAGCCAGTCGTGCCTGAGGCGAGGTGGGAGCGCCTAACGCTGAGGGGTCAAAAGTCTGTTGGTGCCAGAGGAGGCCTCACGACAGAAAGTAACGGGCAAGGAATGTTCCCAGGAACAGCCCACAAAGGCGGTGCCTCAGACTACGCAACAAGGCGGCAAAGCGTCCAACCGCCAAGTAAGGTTGCGGAGTACAGGAAGACCGGAACTAGGAAGGGCCAATAAAGGACCACTTCCCTCACAACGACCTCTAAGCTCATTTGCTGAAAGGTGAAGATTGACACACCCTAAGTCCAATGAACGATCAAGGTCCTTCGGTTCTAGAACTCGTAATTGCTCACCTTCTCTTTAACGCCTTAGTGACCTCCGCTGTCCTTAAGGTCCACGACCGTCCTACCTTTTTAATTTTATGGTCCACAGCAAAAGTATAGTGGTCCAAATGTTTAGGTATTCTGGCCTGGGAAAACTTCTTCCATAACAGGCACGGAGTAAATGTTTTAGTTTCTACACAGACCAGATGAACTATTGAAGCTATTATAGCAGTACTTATACAACAAGAAATAAAACAAATTTTTAAAAATATTTTATTACTGAAACTAAAAATATAATAAAAGTTACGTATGCTATTTAATAATAATAGGTCCAGTAATGAGAACAATAGAACTCTTTTGGAAGGATAACATTTTTGCTTCATTGGAACTACGTGCTCTCAGCTATCAAATTTTTCCTCCAGAAGCCTTTTATTTAAGGAATACAAACTTAATGAATTTCATAAATACAACTTTAGGAATATAGTGATTCTTCCCACTATGCCAACCTTCTCACCCACACTCTCACCCCTCTTCTTCCTCCCTCTACTATTCCCATTCTTATTTTTTACTAAGATCTATTTTTGATTACATTGATACACATACAATTAACTCTACATGTTCAACAAATAATATAAGAAAAAACCACAGTTCCTCAATAGTTGAGACAAGGGATGTTCAAAATTGCATCTCAAAATGTCAATTTCTCTGCTATAGATTATGTTGTAGGTGCTCTATTAGTTATCACAGATCAGGGAGAACATATGGTATTTGTCCTTTTGGGACTGGCACATTTTATTAAATATGATGTTTCCCAATTTCATCCATTTTGTTGCAAACGACAGGATTTAATTTTTTAAACCACTGTATACTATTCCATGGTATACATATCCCATAATATGTTTATCCAGTTTCAGTTGATGGGCATTTAGGTTGATTCCATATCTTAGCTAGTGTGAATTGAGCTGCAATAAACACGGGAGTACGGATAACTCTTTCATACAGATGCTAATTTCATTTCCCTTGGGTAAATTCCCAGAAGTGGGATGGAAGGGTCATTTGGTAGATCTATATTCAGATTTCTGAGGTATATTCATACTGTCTTCCACAGTGGCTGTACCAGTTTACATTCCCACCAACAGTGGATTAGGGTACCTTTTCCCCCACATCCTTGCCAGCATTTGTTTGTTGATTTCTGTTTGAAAGCCATTCTAACAGGGTGAGGCAAAAACTCATTGTGGTTTTGATTGCATTTCCCTGATGGCTAGTAATCCTGAGAATTTTTTCATGTGTCTGTTGGCCATTTGGATTTCCTGTTCATGCATTTTACCTGTATTTCCCATTTCTTAAATGGGTTGTTTGTTTTGTTGTTAAGTTTCTTGATCTCTTTATATATTCTGGTTATTAATCCTACATCAGTTGCATAGTCCACAAATACATTCTCCCATTCTGTTGATTGCCTCTTCACTTTGCTGAGTGTTTCCTTTGCAGTGCAGAAGCTTCTCAATTTGATGTAATCCCATTTGTCAGTTTCAGCTTTGATTGCCTGTGCCTCTGGGACCTTTTCCAGGAACTCTTTGCCTATGCCAATGTCTTGCAGTATTTTCCAATGTTCTCTAAATTTGATGGTATCAGGTCATAGATTTAGATCTTTAATCTATTTTGAGTGGATTTTTGTGTAAGGTATAGGGTAGTGGTCTTGATTCATATTTCTGCATTTGGACATCCAGTTTTTACAGCACCATCTGTTGAAGAGACTATCCTTCCTTTAGGGATTGATTTTAGCTCCTTTGTCAAAGATAAGTTGCTTGTAGATGCACGTGTCTATTAGGAGTCCTATGTGCTTCCTGTACTTGGATGTCCTTTCTTTCTCCAAATTAGGGAAGTTTTCTGTAATTATTTCACTAAAAATGCCTTCTAATCCATTCTCTCTTTCCGTGCCTTCAGGAACTTCTAAGACCTGTATGTTAAGTCCTTTGAGAGTATCCCATAAATCTCCAACACTGTTTTATAGTTTTCTAATTTCTTCTTCTCTGTCTTCTTCTCCTTCTCCTTCTTCTTCCTCTCCTCCTCCTCCTCCTTCTTCTTTTGATCTGACTGTACAATTTCCAGAGATTTATCTTCTAACTCAGATATTATTTCTTTGGCCTCATTGAGTCTATTATTAAGGCTTTCCACTGCATTTTTTATTTGTCCTATTGAATTCTTTTTTTTTTTGATAGTGAGAGAGAGAGAGAGAGAGAAAGGTCTTCCTTTGCCGTTGGTTCACCCTCCAATGGCCACCGCGGCCGGTGCGCTGTGGCCGACGCACCGCGCTGATCCGATGGCAGGAGCCAGGTACTTATCCTGGTCTCCCATGGGGTGCAGGGCCCAAGTACTTGGGCCATCCTCCACTGCACTCCCTGGCCACAGCAGAGAGCTGGCCTGGAAGAGGGGCAACCGGGACAGAATCCAGCGCCCCGACTGGGACTAGAACCCGGTGTGCTGGCACCGCAAGGTGGAGGATTAGCCTATTGAGCTGCGGCGCCGGCCCTGTTCTATTGAATTCTTCATTTCAAACATTTAATTTCTCTTTAAAATCTCAATTTCATGGGAAAAAATTTCATTCATGTCATTTATGGATTTCTTTAGTTAGTGGATTTGCTTCTGATTACTTCTAAGTAATATTTCAATGATTTTTTTGAATTTTAATTTTTTTTTTTGAATTCCATTTCTGGCATTTATTCAATCACTTTATTTTCACCTTCTAGTATTGAAGTGTTGTTGTGTTCTTTTGGGGGCTTCATATTGTCTTCCTTGTATCTTGAATTTCTATGTTTATTTTTAAGCATTTTTGGAGATACTTGTTGGGTGTTTTTCCCTGTAATGGCTTTTATATTGGACTATTCCTCTGTGGCTTAGTGGAATGTCTGATCTTTCAGTAAATACTATGAGGTGTGTGCTGAGTGTGACTTGGGAGTTCTGTTCAGTGCTCCAGGGTGAGGAGAATGTCCAAGGTGACACCCATGTTGGGCATAGTAAATCTCCTTTTTTTCTTTATTACAGGGGCAGTTTGTTCATCTCTGTTGATGTAGTCTCACACTCACCTCCTCTCCTTCAAGTAGATCAATGCTCCAGCACTAGCCCCAGTGGGCACAATATTCGTGTATCTTATAATTTTTGGTTGAAATAATTAAAAAGCAATATTGAACTTACAACTAATGCTCATTTCCAAAGCCATTACGAGTTCAATGATACTTGAGAGAGGTTTTCTTCAGTAAAAAATAATCCAGTGGATGGAAGAAACCTCTCTCTCTCTCTCTCTCCCCCCCTCTCTCCCCATAACTCTTTCAAATAAATAAAAATAAATCTTTAAAAAAAAAAACACCAATATGATATAACCTAAGGTGGAATCTGCTACAACTGATGGTGGTGAAAATATGTGTGGTGACTCCTAGATAAAAAGAAAATCACACACAAAAACCTCCCTTTACCACTGTGTAGCTATACAATTGCTTTGTGGAAGGAAACAAGTGTTCACAGCAGTGGTTAAATTCATGAAGTAGACGAAGTTCCACATTGATACTACTGGCTTAATAGCATATGAGAGACTAATGCAACCACTGAGAAATAATAACATAGTAACTATAGAGGTTAAATACTTTCTATTTTAAAAAGTTTTATAGATTTGTTCACTAACCATTTTTCTGTTCCAGACATGTTTTTGCCACCATCAGTTGTAGCAGATTCCACCTTAGGTTACATCATATTGGTGGTGTTTTTTTTTTAAAGATTTGTTTTTATTTATTTGAAAGAGTTATGGGAGAGAGAGAAAGAGAGAGAGAGGTGTTTTCTATCCACTGGTTCATTACTGGTTCATTCCCAGATGACTGCAATGGCCAGAGCTGATCTGATCAGTAGCCAGGAGCCAGGAACTTCTTCCAGGTCTCCCACGCTGGTGCAGAGGCCCAAGGACCTGGACCATCTTCTACTGCTTTCCCAGGCCATTGCAGAGAGCTGGATCGGAAGTGGAGCAGCCGGGACTCAAACTGGTGCCTAAATGGGATGCCAGCGCTGCAGGCTGGGGCTTTAAGCAGCTGCTCCACAGCACTGGCCCCACTGTTTTTGCTACTTCAAAAATATTCTCCCCTGTAATTGTTCCTTGCAGACTACTCAGAAGCTAATTCTTCAGTCACTTTAAATAGTATCAACTCCCTTGGATAAACAACAACCCAGCAATATTAATAACATCTATGAGCTCATGAAACTGTAGGGTAAACACCTCAGAGCATGGCATTCAATCATTCACTGTGCGTGTGTTGAGTATATACTATGTTCTGAGAGTTGTGTTCATAGCTGGAGACCCACAGATGCCTAAGACACATGGATTTCCCTATTTCATGGTCTGAGGGAAAGATAGACACTTGGACAGTGATGATACAGGTGTCAAGTACTAAAATTGGGATGACCAAAAAGTACTATGGGACCACAAGAGAGAACATTATAATCTAGGAGGAGGAGAGGAAGGAAGAAAGTGTCTGGGAAGGTGTTCGTGAAGAGGCTCTCCATCTGGGTCTCAAATGATCATTAGGATTTTTAACTGGCAGTGAAGGATATTGGAGAGGGAAGAAGTAAGGAAGCCACTACAGGAAAATAAAACATCATGAACAGCATCAGAGATCAGAGATTGTGTGTGTGTGTGTGTGAGTGTGTGTGTGTGTTAGGTAATTTTTTGTGTCAAGTTGACTGCATCATGGGGTACTCAGATAATAAACATTCTTTATAGATAATAAAAACGGATAACAAATACTCAGATAATAAACATTCTTTATAGGTGTGTCTGTGAGACTGTTTGCAGAAGAAAATAATATATAGATAGGTAGACTGAGTGAAGCAGATTGCCCTTGTGTAAGTTGATAGGCATCATCCAATGTCCATCAAGAGCCTAAACAAAAGAAAAATATTAGGAAGATAGGATTCATGCTCTCTGCCTTGCTGCTTGAGCTGGAACATTGATATTCTGCCCTCTGTGCTCTTTGTTCTCAGGCCTTCAGATTCTGACTAGAATCCACACCATTCACTCTTTGCTCTCAGGTCTTTGAACTACACTACAGGCCTGCCTGGGTTTCCAGTTTGCAGAGGGCAGATTATGGGACTTCTCAGCCTCCATAATTTTTTAAAAATTATTTTCATAAGACTTTTCAAAAATTTTTATTTATTTATTTATTTGAAAGACAGA